CCTCTTCGTTCTTTTCAGCTGGTTCCATCCCGACGTCTTCTAGGACCTCCATGTCCTCATCTTCAACTTCTGCGTTTCTTGGCTCCCGTATACTACAGGTGGATTTCATTGCTGTCATGGAGCAATTTTTTGCTTGTAGTTGATCCCTCTGACTTCTTCAATCCCATGCTCTGTTGGGAACCGGAGTAGTTGATGCAACGTTGAGGGAACTGCCCCATTGCATGCAACCACGGCCTTCCCAAGATGATGTTGTATGGTGAGGGTGTGTCAATTACCAGGGAATTCCGTTCTGATCTTCTTAGTGCCGGCTTGTACCTCCAAGCTTGTTGCACCCAGTGGCCTTGTCGGCGTTCCATTAAAGCCGACCATCGGGCCGCTTGATTGTTCTAGGTCATCGGGGTGAAGGCCTAGCTCTTTGTAACATCTGACATACATGATGTCACAGGAGCTGCCTTGATCTATTAGGATGCGTTTTACTTGGCACTCCCCAACCTGGAGGGATACTACCAAGGCATCATTATGCGGACGTTGGACCAATTGCAGGTCGGCTTCAGTAAAGGCTATCATCGGCCCTTGGCATTCCTCTGGCCGATGTCTCTTCTCTCCGACTTGGTAGATATGCTGTAAATGTCTTACCCTCTGGGTCTCTTCTCTGAATTCGTTTTCGTTGACCCTAGAGTGGATTACATTAACTACTCTCGGTCCTCCTGCTGGTGGTAGTTGTGCTGGGGGAGGCGGTGCTGCTGGTGCTTGAGGCAACCTTGCCTGTTCTTCCCTAGTCCTGGCCTCATCGACCAGGTCCCTCAGAAGGCCTTGTCTTACCAGGTCCTCCAAGTGTGCCTTCAAGGCTCTGCAACCTTGAGTTGGGTGTCTTTCTTTATTGTGGTAGGCACAACGTCTACCAACGTTCCTTCCCATGAATTCCCCTGGTGCTCTTGCCGGAGCCCTGAAATAGGGTTGATTTCGAATCTGATCTAAGACTTTATGGATTGGGATCCGGAATACTGTTGTTACCGCCTGTTTATTTCTCAGCTCTGTTTCTTGTTTGGTCGGCCCATTGTTGCCTCGGCTTCGCTTCGGCGAGCCGTTTCCCTTTTCTTGCTTTACCTCTATGTTTCCTGATGTATCTTCTTCGGCTCTGGCATACTTCTCGATCCTTGCCATGAGTTCTTCCATGCTTTTTGGCAATGTTTTTGCCAAAGACTTCCGTAGCGGGCAGTCATCTTTCAGGCCGTTCTTGAAAGACACGACCGCTACCTCTTGGTTGCATTCGGGTATTCGGTTGAACACCTCGTAGTACCTCTTCGCATAGGCCCTGAGGCCTTCTTCCTTGGTGATTCTTAGAGCCATCAAAGCATCAACCCTCAGGGGTTGCAGCTTGTTGGTTACAAACCTGGCCACAAACATCTCGGCCAGGCCTTTCCATGTCTTTATGCTTTTCTTTGGTAATTTATGGAACCAATCGGATGCAATTTCCCCAAAGGATGAGGGGAATACTTTGCAGAGCAACGGTTCGTTTCCGCTATATAACGCCATTGAATTCAGGTATAGTCCAACATGAAAGTTTGGGTCTGACTTACCATCATAAATTTGAAACCTCGGCATACTGAATCTCTTTGGTGGTTCGAATTTGTCCAGTTCCACCGAGAAGGCTGTCTTCGGTTTTACTGGGGAGTTTACCTCGGCTTCAACATTCTGTTGCCTTCTTTTGAGGTAGTCCCTCTGGTCTTCTTTGCTCCTTCCTGGAGCTCGGCTGTCTACGGATTTTAGTCTTTTTGGTATACTGCTTTCGTCTTCGTAGTGGGCCCGTTTGGATCTTTCTCCATGGGTTGTGTCAAAGCAGAGTGCTTGCCTTTGAACATGCCGATGTTCTTTGGGTTCTGGATTCTTCGTGTGGTGCATCCTTCGGGACTCCTCTTGCCTCGGCTCTTCTCGTCCGACTTCCCTGGAAGGCCGGTGAGAGTGCCTTCCGCTCCTGGTATGCTGAGGGACGTCGGGGATTGTTTTTCTTCCGCCTTTCTGGGCGTTGGTTGCTGGCATCGGCGTATCTTGCAGCGGGTATGGTGGCTGCATAACATTATTCTGCATCATGAAGTTGACGACTGACTGAAGGTCTGCCAACTTGTTCGCTAGTTCTTTTACTTCCTCATCCCTCCGTAGGCATCTGCCCCTCCATACCTGGAGGTTATCTTCATTGTAGTACTTTCCTTGGTCTGTCCTTTTTGACGTGTCGCCCTCCTGGATGTCGTCTTTCTCTCTGTGACCCTGGTCACGGACTTCTGTATTGTGGTTGTCTCCTTCGATGTCAAGGTCAATTGGTCTGCCACTCCCAGCGGGAGCGTCATTCCCAATATTTTCCTACTGTCCGTTACTGGCCATCTATTCTTCCTTCGTTCCCACAGACGGCGCCAAATTGTGTGGGTGAAAATCTGACCACACTGCTTGCTTAGTGACCAATTGGAGAGCACAGGCAGAATAGATGGCTTCAGCAACCTGAAACAGAAAGAAAAGGCTCCGGCGGTGGTTCTTCCACCCGGGGGCACTCCGACGATCAAGTCAGTATATCTCTCAAAGATAATCAAGTGCAAAACTTAATACTCAAAACATAAATTGCATACCTTAGACCCACGGGGGTGCCTCTCTTTTATAATATACTCAATCCAAGTCCTACTAGAAGTATGACTTCTATGAACTCCAATTTAGTGCTTACTTTGGACTCTTTAAGAGATAAAGATAAACTCCCTAAGAGCTTTATCCTTATCTTGGTTAAGTCCCCTCTTTGTCTTAGGACTCTTGTCCCTTATCCGTTTATCTCGGATTCCGATATCTTCGGAGTTAACCTCGGCCTTACCGAGATCATCTCGGCATCCCAACCAGGACACGTGGCACCTCGGCTGACACGTCGGCGTCACCATGCCACGTGTTGGAATTCAGAAAATATATCCCCACAGATAGTACATTTATATAATAGTGGTGGTAAATATTATTGTTTTGACAAAATATTGACTCTCTTTAGTATATTTATATATATATATATATATATGTATATTGTGTATATAATTGTATAATCAATTTAGCTGTAACTTTAGTCTCATACGCAAGTATGAATTTATAAATCTTTTGGCTCATTAAGTCTCGTGAACAGAGTCGAGCTTGAGTTAAGCCCAAGCCAACTCGGCTTGAGTTCGGTTCGTTAAATTTTTATTGAGCTCAAGCTCAAGCTTGAACTCGTTAAGATCTTAATAAACAAGCTCAAACATACTAAACCTCGGCTTGGCTCGACCCGGCTCGTTTGCAGCCCTACTTGCTAATTGTTATTTCTCATGTTTGAGATCAAGGGGTTTTGATTGTTGAAATGATTCAATTTGTTGATTTTTATTTTAAACTTAGGGAAATCATACTTTGCATCTTTGCACTTTATACAAAATCGCACTTTGGTTCCTACACATGAAATCGTGATAGTTAACCCTTTACACTTCTAGTCCAATCTCACTTTGCTCCTTACACATGAAATCATGACAATTAACTCTCTACACTTATGAAATTGTGACAATCAACTCCCTACACTTCTAATCAACTGTCAATATCTCCCTTTTGTTATTCCATCATAGAAGTCTTTAACTGAAATTAGTAATGTGACAAGCATATAACTACAAAATAAGGGCAAAATAGAAAAATCACCCATATTTCTCGTCTATACACATGTCGTCCTAAAACTTACATCAAATTTTGATTATATTTAGCTATAACAAGACGCAAATTACGAACGATTAAAGTTGCTCTTTTTGCTGAATAAAAAAAAAATTATGAATGATTAAGAAGATAAATTATGGTTTTGCAAAAATTGGAATAATGAAAGTTTGCTTTCCATAGTAACCGATTCTGCGATTCCTCTACTGTGGTTTTTTTTTTTTTTAATTTAAAAGCTCTATTTTCTTTCCTCATCGTCCTAATTTTCAGTACTCTCTCCGTCTCAAAATATTAGTCCTTTATTCCATTTTTCATTGTCCCAAAATATTAGTCCCTCTTCAAAAATCAAGTACAAAAATAATGTAAATTTCTTATTTTGCCCTTCTTTTAAATTAATAAACAATATAAAAAGTACAATTATGACATTGATATTCTCAAAAAATGTATTATCAAAAGGGTAATTTTGAAAAAATCAATTTTTTTTAAATGCAATAATTGTACTACCAAAAAAAGTTAGATTCCCCAAAAGGGACCATTATTTTGGGACGGAGGGAGTATATAAACACACACACACACACACACACATACATTGTATATAACTCACAAGCTTATCACGTGGAACAAAGTATATATTGATGGGAAATGAGAACGATTTTCCTCTCTTGTCCTCATTTCATTATCACATGTTTGTTACATGATTGGATTCTGTTAAAAACTTAAATACTGGAGTAACAGAAGGGGAAAATTGATATTTGATCAGAAGTGCAGAGGGTTGACTGTCGAGATTTTATATGTAGGGACCAAAGTGAGATTTGACTAAAAATATATGGGATTAACTGTTATGATTTTATGTATAAAGATTAAAAGGAGATTTGATATAAAGGGTAGGGATACAAAGTGTAATTTACCCTCTAAACTTTCTATTGTTTCCATGCTATGCCTTTAGCAGCAATGCCAATGACATACTTTTTAGAGAAAATGCTATTCAGCGTGGATTTAAAAAATAAATTATCATCAGATAAATTTTATATATATTAATAATTAAATTTTTAATTTTTATAAATATATTTTTTAAAACTTATTGAATTGTAATTTTCCTTACTTTTTTTTCCATGTACTCATTAATTTGTCTTATCATCACTTTTCCCTTTACATTTCAGAGGAAAATGATCATTGCTTGTGGCCTCACATTTCCATGCTATTGATGATAAATATACTCATATTAAATAGACGATCAATATACTCATTTTAAAGAGACGAACATGAAACTGAATAATTAAGTCACACACACACACAAAAAAAAGGATCACCAATCAAATGGCTAATACGATTTGTTCATACATTCTCTAATAAACTACTAATCAATTGGCTGGTGCAATTTGGGTGACTCTATAGGCACAATCCATCGTCATACTTGTGCAATTTGGTTGGATGTGAATAAATTGTGCAATCTATTCAAAGTGGATCTTTTAAGTATTAGATATGTACTACAATTTCACATTCCATTGCACAATACAAATTTGGTCCTCATCAGTTGCATAATTGATTGTAAAATTGTGACATGTCTAGTGCCTAAGATTCACTATGAATCAATTGTAAACAATATCCAAGAAAATTGTACAAGGAGACGAATTGAAAAGAATGATGAAGCCCATATTTAGAATCAATTTGGACAAAACATCAACAAGAACTTTCTTCTTCTTCATTGAAGGAGCTAGACGGATCGTAGATGCATCAAACGCGTTCTTTATCAATTGATAACAATGAGAAAGATTTATATGGCACTTAGAAAAAAGTAGGACTGGGAGGAATCGGAATGTCTACAGTCCCTTCTAGCATTAATAAAACTTTCTTCATTGAAGGACGGAGCGACGGCTCATCTTGAATGCACCAAAGGCCTACTTTAACCGTTCTTTCCAATTTTCTCATGTCGACATCTTCATTACCCACCAGCTTACCAAGTTCCTTGGTGTGAAAGCAATCATAAACCCATTCTTCAAGGACAATTTCTTCCTCGCTAAAACTCAACTCTAAACACTTTCGACAACATATGATCTCCAACAGCATAACTCCGAAACTGTAAACATCTACTTTGACTGTTACTGGCGATTTTCGGTGCCACTCAGGCGCAGCATAACCCCTTGTTCCTCTAATCATTGTGAAAGTTTTTGTTTGGTTCGGCTTCAAAAGCTTTGCCAAGCCAAAGTCAGAGATTTTGGTGCACCCGTGCCCACCAATCAATATATTTTGTGGCTTTATATCACAATGGATGATCTGTGACTCGCACTCTTCATGCAAGTAGAGTATGCCTCTGGCAATGTCAAGAGCAATTCCAATCCTTTCATCCCAATCTGGTCGATTTTCAATTTCGGGTGTGAAAAGGAAATCTGCAAGGGATCCATTACGCATGTACTCGTATACCAAAAGTCTGTTAGGTCCTTCGAGGCAATAACCAATCAGTCGAACTAGGTTCCGATGATGGGTTCTCCCAATTACTCTTATCTCTGTTTGAAATTCTTGTTCACCCTCTGTCAATACTTTGTCTAACCTCTTCACAGCTACATCCTTTTGGTTGCCTGATATGAATCCTTTAAAAACAGTCCCGAACGCTCCTCTACCCAATTCTTGGTTGAACCCATTTGTAACTTGTTCTAATTCTGCGAAAGTAAAAGTTCTTAGAGCAGATTCCTCACACAACTCAACATTCCTTTTTGCAGAATTTTTTTTATATGCCCAAACATGGTTTCTGTACATAAGTACACCTGAAATCGCCAACATCATCAAAGAAAAAACAACAAGTGAAACACCGATGATTAGGATGTCCAGTCTCAACTCTTTCTTTGGTTTCTTGGGTGTATTGTCACTATGAGTCGGAACACCTTCTGTGTTTGTTGAAATAGATTCACCCACCTTGATGAAGGCAACGTTTGAATCATTTAGCAATCGTCTTCCGAATCTCAAAGGAAGCCTTTGCTTTTTGCACTGCTGGTCTTTGTATAGTGTAGCTTCACAGTTACAGTCTTGCAGACAGGCATCTTCACATTCTTTTCTGGAACTCAATTGTAGCACCGAATACGAATCATCATCCCATATAGTATTTTCTAATGGGCTCATCTTGTAATATTTGGTATTGCCGTCCCCATTTGTGAAATTGCAGCTTTCTACAGTGAAATTTCTCATGCACCCAGAAGCCCAACTACTCGGATTAACAGAAGCAAATCCCGGAAGACATCTACAGTCGGCCTCTGTATCATTTGAAATACAGAACCCATTAAGCCCGCATAGACCTTTAGGATCACACTTATCCGTAGAAGAGTTCCACCAAATGGACCACTTTTCTTTCGGATTGGTACGTCCTAATGAATACACTCTGAAGATTCCGTCCACATCGATTGTCATCCTGTAAATCTTTTCTTCCTTTGTAGGTTCTGCATCAGATAAATTTTTTACATTGGTGGTGCCTGTCGCATTGAGCATGTAGAGATGGCCGTCACCGTCGAGATGCAACGAGCAATTATCTCCATACATATTCGTGCCAGATGCCCAATAAGAATATGGGGCCGTATAAGATGGCGCAGAAACCGGGTATTGGACGAGGTGCCCGTCTTGTTGCATCGAGAGACGAAAAATCCCCGTCGAATAGTTGGTTTCTGAAGCCCTAGAAAACAACTCATGCCCGGCTAACAGAATCTGGCCGGGCAAAATGGTGTCTGTTGGGTGATCAAAACTTTGCCAAATTATGTTGTGATCGGAATTGTAGAGCACGAAGTTGCCCGAATCGAGCATAGATGCATAAGAAGCAGATTGAGTAAGGTTAGCGATGTCAGTGTCCTGGCTTTGAGGTTGTTGTAGGACGAGCCTTCCATCCCTAGTTAAGACTAAGGTTGCACTGCTTGGGACTGGGGCGTTGTCTCGGTTGGCTGTCCAGACTACAGTCTTCTCTAGAATTCCAGCGAGAAAGACACCGACAGAATAGCCATTGCCTTCTGGGTAGAATCCGAAGGCATACAGACCAGACACTGACAACCATGAGGAGTTGGTGGTAGGGGTTAGAGAGGAACCCAGGGTTATATTTGAGTGTCTTTGTTGTTGAGCTTGTACTGTATTTGTATGCAAATGCAATGATACAGAGAGAAGTATGAGGAAGAAGATTAAGGTAGTAGCAATAGCCATGGAAGTGAATAATGCTTTTGCTGCTTGAACCTTTTTGTTTGATCTCTTAGAAGAAATGCAATGCACAAGTTCTTGTATTTAAAATCCCAGTTTGTACTCTATGTAATAAAAAATGAAAATGTTTCAGGGACGTCAATGTTCAAAGTACGCTATATAATAAAAAATGAAAATGTTTCAGGGACGTCAATGTTCAAAGTACGCTATGTAATAAGCGAGCAGATCCTCTAGAGTTAATCCCCTAGAGTGATCTCTAAAGTACGTGATCGAACGGCTGAAAATAATACTCACCAAAACGACATCGTTTTGGTGAGTATTTTGAAAAAAAAAAAAAAAAAAAAAAAAAAATTCAGATTTTTCGATTTCAAACACAAGAACAACAAGATTTCCAATCCAAGGAAGATTTTTTCAGATTTTTCGATTTCAAAACAACGAAGGTTCCTGGAAATCTGAAATTAGAGAGAGAGAGAAGGGCGGAGAGTTTCCGACGTCCGATGCGCCACCGTCGCCGCTGACATGTTTTGCTGAGAAAAGCCATAGGGAAAGTGGAAACAGAGGAACATCTGAAGCCACCCATGTTCGAGTCGGCATCTTTTTCTGATCCTAGTTTTTGCGGCTCGCCTGGTGAGTACTCTGATTAACTTCTCTGCCCCTTCGACTTTGCTTCCGAACCAATTCGATGGGTTTGAAGATTGCTTTTATAGTTTTAATTATCAAGTGTGAGCATTGCTACTATCTCTTGTTTCCATACTACTTTGGGGTTCAAAAATTGTTGGACCTCCATTGCCAAGTTCATCAATTTGTAAATGAACACTTCCGCTTCCTTCTACATCTTGCCCGCGATCCATCTTACTGGAGCAAGATCAAAATCAAAATCAAAATGGGTAATAGATTGGATTGGAATTTGTCTTTTGAAGTGATAGGTTAATGTTGAGTTTTTGGATTGGAAATCTTGTTGTTCTTGTGTTTAAAAATCTGAATTTTTTTTTTTTTCAAAATACTTATCAAAACGACGTCATTTTGATGAGTATTATTCTCAGCCATTCGATCAAGTACTTTAGGAGATCACTCTAGGGAATTAACTCTAGAGGATCCGCTCGCAGAAAATAGGATCTTATTAACAAGTTCATGGAACATAAAAATAATAAAAATAAATAAAAGTAAATATGGACTTCTTTTATGGTGAGATATTAATATAAGAGTACTTGAGGGATTTATTGGACCTATCATAAGTCTTATTTTGATAATTTGAACTAGTTTATTTTGTAAGGGAATTTGGGAGACTACTGCACACCATGCACAGCAGCTACTATTGCACGGTTAATGGAGCCTTTTTTTACCTTCATTCCAACTATCCAAACAGTTCACTTTTTTTGAAGACATTGAGTAGAATATACCTGTAAAAATTCAATTTAATCGGAGATCAGTATCCTTTTCATTCAAACATATTTGTATCTGAAAAATTGAATGATAAATTTAATTTTAAGTATTGTAGACACCCCATTTTTGACCGACCTTGAGACTTAGACGTCACCAGTTGAGCGCTCAGTGATATTGCATATTGTGCTCGTTCAGAAGTTTCAGAGTCTCGACTGCGAGCCTTGCCTCCGGACTTCCGGACTTTTTCATACCTTGCCTCGGTTTGCGAACCAGACTCGGTTTTCTCTGTTTCTTTTCCCGAGGGGAGGGAGAGGTCTCGTGGACCATCTCTCAGTGGCTGTGGGCTACATTTTGTGGCCGCAGGCCATTTTGCCCATTTCGGAGTCCGGTTTCCGATTTTTCAGGACCGTTGGCCGTGTGCCTCGGTTCGGGACCGCCTAACCATCTCCGTTTGTTCTGATTTTTGGCATGCTTCCTTTTTACTCCCTTTTGAGGGACACTGGGGTCTGAGAAACCCACTTCGTGGCCCTTACAACCCCAAATCTCTCTAAGTCATCTTGTTAATACCAGATGGCACATTAATGTAGAAGGAACTTCTACTTGAAAGTTGAAACCTAAGAAGCACGGACACAGATACGGACATGTGATACGACACGGACACACTAACACATAAATTTTCAAAAAATGTACGCTTGACACGTGGGGTCACATGCAAAAGACATAATAAATATATAATAATTATTATATATCATATATATGAATATTTAAATAAAAGATAATAATTTTCTAAGTCTTGTTAAAGAGGAGAATGGGTATAAATTTACATTACTTTCTTTTTGTCATTTGATTCCAAGTTATTCTATTCAAACTTGTAATGTCATTCAGGGACGACTAAGGCCTCGTTTGGGAACAGGCTAATTTAGTAACTTTTTGGCTATTTGGCTAAAAAGGTAGGTAAAAAAAACTTGTATGTTTGGGATGACTTTTTGGCTAATTACGAAAAGATGTGCAAAAAGTAGAGAGAAAAGAGAATCTTTGACTTTTTGGTATGGGTTGTTGGCTTTTTGACTAATTTAATAACTTTTTGACTAATTGGCTAAAATAGCCTCTTGCCAAACGAGGCCTAAGTCAATGTTCAAAGTACTCCATGTAATAAAAAATGAAAATGTTTGATTTGAACCGTGGAAAAATTATTTGGTGCTCTTGGGGTATTACATGGTGGTGCTCCTTAGTAATCATAATCCACTATATCTCCTCTTATATCTTAATTACTTAACATAATATTGGCCAACCTCCTTCACCAAATACAATATTATTACCAACCAATAACTTCTCGTTTGTTTGAGTTTGTGAAGTCCATTATGACTCTCATTTCAACAATTTAAATAATCATTTTGCAAGTTCTTTCGTATATACCATTAATTATTAAAAAAAAATATTAAGTCAATCCAATTATTTCAAATTTTTATTTTATCATGTTTGTTTTTTTAAAAAACAAATGAACAACGAGCTTATTTTTGAAATAAGCTATCCATTTGTTTTGAAGGCATAATTGATAAAATAAAAATATTACAATTATCAAATCGACTTAATTTTATTCATTGTTGTTATAAACAGAAGGCCTTAGAATGAAATGTTCAAAGTATTAAAACAAGACCTATGGTAGATCCATACTTTATGTCTAATTATTACAAATAAACTTGATATAGAAAAAATAGCTATAAAAAAATAAGAGTTCATTACACTTTTCTCCTTTATATTTTAACTCAAATTTTATTTTAATTTTTATAGTTTCAAATTGAATGATTCGTTCCTTACACTTTAAGTGTAATTTTAATTTAGTCTTTTCATCTAAATTGAAGGTTAAAATTAATAATTTTAGAGTACTTGTCAATTTTCTAACGTGAACACGTAGATAAAATTAACAATAAATTTAACAGAATGACTAAATTAAAACTGGATGTAAAGTATATAGATTAAATTTTAAAAATTTGAAACAATACATATTAAAACAAAATTTAAATCAAACTATGAGAGTGAAAAGTGTAATTAACCCAAAAAATAATAATATGAAGAACACTTAAAAATATGGGTAAATTACTAATATATCTTTTGAGATTTGCTTCTGTGATTCTGAAAATTACATCTTGCCTGGTGAAATTTCTAATTTCATAATAAATAATCTATTTTATCATTAAATTATCAAGTCAATTAATATTTTTTTCATAATATTATAAAATATTTTAATTTAGTAATTAAAATAATTTTATTATTATATAAGAGAGTAGTTAAAAATTTTATTTTTTAATTAATTTTATTAAATAAAAATTTATTCACCTCCTCTACGCCGACACTTGGTTCTCAGAGATCGCCATCCATAAATTTTATAATTTCCGACCAAAAAACTCTCCTCACAATCTGTCTAGGTTGCAAATTGACAATACCCACATATCTGTGTCTCGATCAAAACCATTTAGCTTTTAGGTTTGGTTTTGAAACTCGATCGATGAAGGGTTTGCTTGAGGGGTACGAGAAAAGGCTACATGGATGAGCAAAATTGGGGTTGTAATGAAAACAATTGTATTAAATTAGGGTTAAACTGAACTAATCTTTGTTGTTCTTTTGATCTGGGTGTTCGTCAGATCAGTTGGTTTTGTGTAGTCCCAGTAATATGATTCTTTCTGTTTGATCTTGCAACCAAGATTTTATTAATTTTCACTGCATTGTATGATGATTGACTCTAGCAGGGTTCGTGGATCTGATTGTGATATCTGCAGTTGCATTGTATGATGTTTGGGTGCAATGGTTTTCTGGGTTTGAAGAAAGATTTCTCTCTCTCTTCATGTCCTCTGCCTCTCCCTCCTCCTCCTCTTCCTCCCTCCCTCCACCATCCTCTCCCTCCTCCTCCTCCTTTTCTCTCACTTTTTCGAGCCAATTTCGAGTCAAAAATCTCAAGCTACCAATCGCGATCGTAATTTAACAGTGATTGTCAGGAAAAAAAAAGTTACAGAAAAACGATAATTTTTTGGAGTATCGCCACGTCACATTCATGAGCACCAACTAATTTTTCTATAAATAGCTGTTATTACGTAACATTGATGTGAAGAAAAAAAATATAAATTAATAAAAAAATTATTAAGTTAATTATTAATATTTATGAAATTTCTTATTAATTTGTAATTTTTTTTTTTTTACATCTTAGACCATCTCCAACGGTGAACCAAACCTGGCATCAAATTTAAAATTTGGTGAAAAAGCCACTTTTTTAAGCTCCAACGGTTTCACCAGATCGATATCAAATCCAGAATTCAGCAAAAATGGTACCAAACTGAGTGCAGGCGAAGCGTTTAACCAAATCACTGTTCCTAACCGTTGGGATGAGACGAACGGGTCGACCATCCGGTTGACCAACCGGTTAACCAACCGGTCGCCCCGGAGAAAGTTCAGACCGTTCACAAAAAGGTTCAAACCAGTCAAAAAAAAAAAAAAAATAATTTTGCCTAGGTGGTCAACCAAAAAAAAATTAAAAAAAAAAGGTTCAAACAGGTAAAAAAAAAAAAAAAAATTTTTTTGCCGTTACCGGCCGGTCAAAAAAAAAAAAAAAAAATTTTTGTCGTTGCCGGTTGACCGGCCGGTCGACCAACCGGTTGCCTAGCGCAAATTTGATGAAACGGATTTGATGTTGAACGTGAAGTATCAAATTAAGGAAATAACCCCTTTTTCACTCAGATTTGGTGAAACATTTGGTACACCGTTGGAGATGCTCTTATAAACCAAACATGAGAAAGGAGTTGTCTTTCTCACCATTTCTTATAA